TGTAACTCTTTTTCCAGAATGTAAGTCATGTTTTCTTAAACTGACTTTCTGAAAGGTGCTGTCACTTAACAGAACCACTTATATAATACAATTAAAATCAAGCATGCAAAACAAGCACAAAGTTTCCCACACTCGCTTGTTTCAGTTGTGATTGAAATACAATCCTATAGGCTTGACTTTTAGGATATATGTTGTTTAGAGGGAATGCCACATGTGATTTATTTTATGAAAAATATAATACAGCACCAGGAGTTTAAAATGTCATGTGTAAGACAAAATCCTGTGACAACAGAACAACATTACACTGAGCAAAGCTTTGGACTTTATTATACATTCTTCAAACTATCTGTCAAGTTCAAAGCAAAAAAAATAAAAATAAAAAACAATAATAATAAAAAACACAAGTAAATGGTAAATAAATGATGACAGAATCTTCATTTTTGTGTCTGTGTGTGATATATCACCATTCCAGCTTCCACTGATGTGTTCATGGTAAAAACAAAGGATGTCACGATATCAAGTCAGGCCACGATACTATACCAGCTAAAGTATCATGATACCAAGTATCACCATATTTTGTATGTCATGATACTTAAATTCAATGCAGAATTCCCTTATTATTGAAAACATATTATTTGTAGACATTCTTTGTTTTTTTTTGTTTTTTTTATATACTGTAACTCTTTTGATGTTATTGCAATAAAAATATTCACACCATATGATCTGTCATGACTGCAGCAAAATACGACCCATATGCAGACAGTTAAAGTAAAATAAAGTGGTCTATTGATTATTTGCTGGCACAAATGTTTGAGCATTTTAGTGACTTTTCCACATGCAACATATAGTAGAACCATTAATGACAGAATTTTTACAAACTACAGTGGCACCGACAGTATTTTGGAGCTATAGTGCTGCAGTGTTAGAGAAGTACCGGTAAACCGTGCAATCCCTAGTGAAAACAAAACTAAAGTGAGATCATTCAGATTTTCGATTCAAGTTTAACATTTTTATTGAGATCAAAAGCTGCCTTTGCTCTATTTATGCTGCAGTTTTGTTTGGAAAGGCATGCAGTGGTTGCCTCTAATTTTAAACGGAAAAGACACAGACTAAGCTTTACTTTGTTTAAATGAATAGAATTATTTTATGTATTTCTTTACTTTGGGGTTTGTGAAACATCTGTATTTGTTTGAATGATGTGTGTTACCTGTATTTGTATGGGTCATGATATTCTCCTCCTATTCTCCCAGGTCGCTCTCCAGGAGCAACTGCGAGAGTATTACGCAGGAAAGACTTCAGAACCAGCCGCGTCTCTGCTTCGATCTCCAGGAGAGAGACGGATAAAGGAGGTGAAGAGGGCCGGGCCACAATATCTGCCATCTCTGAAATGGAGAGAGAGAGAGCACTAAATTTCTAAAAATCTGAGGACACTTTCAGATTGCACAATACTAAACCCTACTCCAGAATACAACCAATGATCCAGCAGAATTGAAGTGAAGTGAGTAACTTCAACAGTCATACTTCAGTATATAGTGGTTATGTTAAGGAAGTGAAAGTATAACAGCAGAGCCATTTAACATATTTTTTCTGTTAAACATACATAGAAGAAAGCTGGAAATTCCAGTCGGTTTACCTCAGAAATTTTATCTACGTCAATTAATGCCATTCACAAAAATCTCAAAATTTCATAATTGACAAGCTCAGCACTTCAAGACATTTTTTAAACATAAAATGATAATTTTCTAGTTTTTATAAATCCTTGTATTATTTTTCCAGCTGCATATTAACTCTATGTGTGCATATAGTGCATTCCATCTACATTTTTTGATAATAGCACTATAAAACTGTAGCATTGCTCCAGTAAATGCATTCAATCACCTGATCGTCACTGATAAGACCAGTACTAAAATGTTTTTTGAAATGGCATGTCTATACATACATGTGACCGATAGTGGTTCCTCTTTGGCAGCAATGATGCCAGAATACCACATAAAATATACTGTTGGCTGGTTTCTTTTTTGAAGATTACTGGGTCAGCACAACTTTATATACACTTAAAAAATATTATATTTATATATTATTCAGACAGACGGATGGAAGGACAGACAGACAAATAGACAGATAGCTAGACAGACAGATAGACAGACAGACACGGACGGACAGACAGATAGATAAATAGAATTGGAAATATTTGTGCTTATGGATTTGTGGAGTCTTGTTTTTTTTCAGGTAAAAAGGTAAAATCAGACCCTGGGGCAAGAGAACCAACCAGAACAGGGACAGATGAGGACAAGCTGCTTGTTGTAACAAGTGTTATTTTTAATGCAAAATTATTGCAATAAATAGGGTGTTTAATTTTTTTACACATTTTTTTTGTTTGAATTTTTCAGACACCAGAAACTTTTGCTTAGCTTATTGCTATTATGTTTAATAATAATAATAATAATAATAATAATAATAATAATAATATATATATATATATATATATATATATATATATATATATATATATATATATATATATATATATATATATATATATATATATTATATATAAATAAATCATAGAACTAATCTTTTTTACATGGATACTGCTATTTAATTATTTGACTTGAATTGTCAAAAGAGTTTGAAAGTGAATGGCCGAGTCTGTATTAACATTAATAACACTTAAAATGTATATAAATAACAATTTTAACAAATTATTATCTGAGCAACTTCTCGCACTCCAGGCAGAAGGCTAACATCTTGAGGCCTAACCTCTCTTATTATATTTGACATGTAAACATAACACATCTATTTCTTTGTATGGTAAGTCTAATCATCAGCAGAACAGCAGTGGTATTTGTTGTAAATCATATTTACATTCTTAGAATTCCTCTCATTCATTAAGAACAATTGCTCATAACTCACTCTTCCACTTTTCAGGTTATTACAAATCATTCAACCATATATATTCTTCATTAAGCACAGAACTCTGATGCAGGCCAGTTTCACATCTTGAAATGTTTTCTTGGGTTTATTTGTTGATTATGTTGGCCTGAAACATGTTGTCTTCCCCTTCCTACAGCAATTGTTATCAACCCAGCAATTTTTTATATTGTATTGAGATTTATCTAAAATACTAAATATGTGTACTTTGTGCATGGAATGATAATGAAATGTGTCCTCAATTGTACTTATCATAAAATCAGGGTTGACACAAGGTCTGATAGTACGTGTTTAACCAATATTATTTAAATGTGTACATATAAAAAAGACACTAAGAAAATTACATTTAAGATATGCAAGTGTGGATTTCACACAGACAGAAGTGAGAAAACACCCTCATCTCCCTTCTGCTGTCGTAACACATTTACTACTTGAATTAACATATTGATACAGTTTAGTTCAAATGAGGGGTTTTCTACATTGCGAAACTGTCGGATCAATGACACATCCTTTACCAGGCTTAAATGCCACTTCTTACATAATGACAAACCAAGGAATGTTTTCATTGCTAAATGATAGTAATTGATTGTTTATTAAATGCTTGCAAAAACAGATAAAACATATCAAAATTTCTATTCATCATTTATCAGGTGAATGTGGCTCCATGCTTTGCTTTTACACACTACACGAATGTAGAAACAAAAGCCTAGTTTTGTCAGTTATACCAGGGCAGCATTAACACCTTGAATCTTAATTATGTTACTTATGATGCTGGATCTTATTAACTTAATATATAAATACTATTAATAATATATAATACTATCCCATACCTGTACTAACTTTATTGTAGGCTACAAGTATCAACTAGGAGTTACAATGGTAGACTGTTTGCATGCAAATGTACACATCATTGTGTTAATGGAAAATAAACTGAATATTAAAGATAAACACATGAAGGTAAGCCATTTTATATGTTTGTTTACATTCGTTAAGCAATATTAGATTCATGATCTCAACATCTAATTAGAACAATTAACGTTAGCCTTATTATGTTTAAAGTTTTAACACACAAGACGCTATTAACATATGTATTCCTGTAAATATTCTGAGTCACAAGAAAACAACTAAAACAGACTATGTTTTGTGAAATACCTGAGCTCGTTCATACCTGTTGTAAATGTCACCTCGACGTCCAAAAGGATCAGCTGAGTCGCGACGCGAAACAACCGAAAGCAACACACATCTACAGAGTCAGTCTTATTAAAAACACAGAAACTAAAAACTAATGAGACACATCCACGCGCAACTCGACAGCGAACTTTGCCGAACTTCAGACGAGTTGAAGTCAGTTATGCGCGATGTTATTGAAGCGTTCAGCTGCGGGTCAGATCTCTCGGTGAATCAAACAGACTCTCTGCGCCAGTTATTCATATCAGTGTTATATATTTCCCACTGTCGACACCGATACCCACTGGACTGGTTGCGCTTCTACCTTTTTCAGTGTCCGACCTGCGGAATGACACACTTGTGCGCTCTCACTGCGCATGTCAGTCGCTGATGCGTCGTCAAGTGGGCCGGACGAAGCCATTTTCCAGATGGAAAGGGTACAGACTTCCAGTTTACTAAAACGGTAGCCAAGGTTTTTTGTGCGTTTTATGTGTCCAAAATTTATTAAACCAGCCACTCGTTTCCAAAAATGTAATTGTGCTGGACATTTTAACAGATATTTTACTCAATGTACGCTAATTTGTCAGTTTTGTTATAAGTAAATGCATGCCTTTTAAAGTTTACTTAAGTAGGCTTTGTTTGTCTAATATCAAATTATTTTGTTTACATGCAGATGTTAAAGACACACTTATGTTTTATGACTAAATGGACATGAGGGGAGTAAAATGCAGGGAAAAAACAGCAACTGAAGAAATGAAAGTGAAATAAACTGAAACAACTAGAAAACAAAACCACTCAAGTATGTATTTCTCCAAATAAGGTTTATTTTCAGACAAATAAACAACATATTCCTAACTACTTTTTTTGTGTACAGATGAGAGGGAAATCAGAGGCATTTGTCCTCCCTCAGCCCCCCCCAAACCCCGTCCAGCGTCATCTGTAAATCAGACACTGGTACAAGGATTGGGAGAGACGGAGATGGACTGTAAGACAGATCAATACTACAGATTTTAACATTTGAACTGAAGCCTAGCAAGTTGTCTGGATAAACACTGACAGAAAAAGTTAGTTATTAGTCAAATTAATAAGCACAAAATTAACTTGTATATGTAATTATACAAGAGAGAAAGAGACTTTGAGAGAGATAAATTAAAGATATCACAGTTTGCAAACATTACCGTGGAAAGTCCAAACATTTTCAAGAGTCACAATGATGTACATCATTAGGAAATTACAGACATAGTATCAGTACAGAAGTTAAAATAAAATATGTAGTTACCACAAAGACCCTCCGAGCAGCAACATCCTTGTCATCCAAAGTTGACAAACCCTCAAGCATTTTCTTAACAATCATATTGCTCCGTGCAGCTATCTTTCCCTTCTGTGAAGCTTCATCTGCCCTCTGATGTCTTACCTCAGAGTGATTTCCTCTTTAGCTGAGATGATTTGCTCTCGAGTCTGCACCCTCCTTCACTTGCTCTCTTCATCTTGTCTGTCTTTATTTAGCTCTGCACTCTCTTCTTCCTGCCTCCCCTCTGACCTGTCCTGACTGCTTCTCCCTCTCTCCACTCCGCACTCCCTCTATCTATCCCTCGCTCGGCCACCCTATCAGCCCAAAATCACTGTTCTCCTGACCAAGAGCCAATAGGGAGCAACACAGCTGGGTGAGGCACTTCCTCTGTGACAGGAAACCAGCAAAAAATTCTCAGACACACACACACACATACACACACAAAGATCAGTGAACTCTAAATATGGTGCACAGTTTAAAATGGGGTAGTTAATTGTGGATATTGAGCTGATATTACCAAATTAAATGGATTGAAACTGTTGTCCGATCTCTCATGTAATTAGATGGTTTAAGAAAAGTGCAATAGAATGTGGGTCTGACTACCTGTATATATTTAGTTGTCTGGCCAACAGGTATACACACATGTTACAGTTTTACATTTTCAACAGAATTTGCTGTATTTTTTACAAGTCTAGCGTAATTAGCCGCATTCATCGCATAATTATTATTTATTGTATACAAAAATATTCCCTCCCTCCTTTACAATTAAAAAAGTGATAAGCAGCACAAATGTAAGCCATATCACATTATAAAACAACTCACATGATGTGCATTAGGAGGTGTAAATAATTATTTTGCAGTCATTTTAGAGGGTTTACGTGTTAGATTGTGAGGACACGAGTATAATTTAAAAAGAAAGTGTATTTGCGTTTTTAGATAAACCTGAAGAAGAACATTTTAATAATCTAATCTTCTACTATTAACCCCTGGAAAGGGTCTATAAATGTTTGAGGATGTTCTTGGAACAGATGCCAAAATACTAAAATACATTAAAAAAAAAAAATTAACACTAATGTTATGTTGATGTACACTACCGGTCAATAGTTTAGGGTCAGTTTGATTTTTAAATGTTTTAAAATAAGCTTCTCCTGCTCACCAAGGCTGCATTTATTTAATCAAAAATACAAAACAAATGGTAAAACTGTATAATGTTATTACATTATAAAATAAGTGTTCAAATGTAGTTTATCATTTAATTTAATAATTTATTCCAGTGATTTTAATAATGAATTTTCAGCTTCAATACTCCAGTCTTTAGAATCACATGATCCTTCAGAAATCACTCTGAAATTTAGAATTAATATTATTGTTATTATTATTATTAATTGTAATAGTAATAAAATCAATAATGACGGAATAAATAGATGCATTTGCACTACACACAATAAGTACTGAGTAAATATTTAATAAATAATATTTCACTTTTTTTGCATTTAATAAATTGATGAACAGATACATTTTCTTAAAAAAAAAAAACATGAAAAAAAAACTGACCCCAAACTTTTGATCGGTAATGTATACTGTTAAATGCTTTTACAGTTTAATATAAGTAAAATACTCTTATATTCAGCAAGGATTCATTAAATCAATCAAAATTAACCCTAAAGATATTTTCAAAGTTACAAAATATTATTTATTTCAAATTAATTTAATTATTTTAAAGTTCTGTTCATCATAGGTATAGTATATTAGTAGTGTAGGATATATTTAGATTACGTTCTGCAACTATTTTAAACAGAGAGTATTTTAGAAGTTATAGATAGGAAATTCCTCAATGTAACCTATATTTTTACACAAATCGAAATATATTTATTTTACTGATATTTATGTGCCTCAAATACCATAATTTGAGCTTGGATTTGATCTTCAGTGTTTAGACTTTCAGCAGTAAAAATTAAACCACACTGATCTGAACTGAACTTCAACTATGAAAACTAGACTGATACAGTTTTAGCTTACTAGAACGTCTATGTTAAGCTGGTTTGACACAATCTACATTGTAAAAGTATTATAGAAAAAAAGGGTTTCTACAGGTTTTATCAAGTCAAATTTAAGACTTTTTAAGACCATAATTATTGAAATTTCTTACACAAGGCTAAACACTAAAGATACTATTAAATGACCAAGTTAAAACCTAAAAAAAAAAAACTTAAAAACAAATGTTATTGTAAGGAAGATAATTAAACGTTAATTAAAGATTAATTAAAGTAAATAAAGTTAATAAATATTTTTTTCTTAAAACTTTTATGGAAATACATTGTTAGTGATTGGATGTGTGTTATACTAATACACGGACATAGAAAAAATTACGACCCGTTTAAAGTGATGTAAGACCTACAACATAATATTTTAGGGGATTTAAGACTTTTTAAGGCCTAAAATTTGGTGTTTGAAATTTAAGACTTTTTAAGACCCTGCAGATACCCTGAATAAACATGAATTGAATTAAGCTTAATATGCACCAATATATTTTCAATTGATTAACAACAGTAAAACTGTCACATTCAGCTGATTCATGAAACATTTGCATGAGAAACAGAGGAAGTGTTTATCCACTTGAGAACCACAGGCCACAACTGTGTGCAGAGGGCAAGAGATGAACAGATAGAGGGAGGGGTAGAGATGGAGCGATAATTTCGAAGGGAGGAGACCCCCATGTTCACACAGACTAGATAAAGCATGCTCTGATTTGGGGACTGGAGGCCTTGTGGGAATAAAAGAGACGTGACTATTACAGTGACCTCTGCTCAAAGAGAGGATTTTGCGTGCTTTTCCCTCTCTGTCTCCACAGCTCATTAACATCGGCCTTAATTATACTCATCAAATGTAGAGCACAGCGGAAAAATGGAGGATATATCTTAGATCTGGGCAGAGTCAGATTTGTTAGTGTATCAGTTTCAGTTTCCGGAGCAGGACTGTTGGTATTAAGAGATAATCCAAGGACAAAATTTAGTTAATCTCTTGCTACGAATAAAAATATACCAAAGTGGCCATTTTCTTCCAACATATGTGTTCTGGTATGCGAGATAAAAACATCATGACATAAAAGTTATTCTTAACTCCCATGCTGTCTGCATTCGAGTCCCTGTGAGAATAACGCTGTCAGAACATTATTTTCAATGGGTGTGGTAAACTAAGTAACAAAAACAGGAAATCCACCAGCACACAGGCAGGAAATGCTACTGTTCAGTGACAGTAATAAGTAAACACAACCCAAACGGCCGCTTGTGAACCGATCCACGGTTACTCTAGAGAAAAAAGATAAAGATGAAGGGAAATTGACAAAAATAAAGTCATAAATAATAAGAATAAATGCAAAACAGCAGCATGAGAGTAAAAAATTAAACACACACACATATTTTTCTCTGTAATATTTTTATTTCAATGTTTAGTAATTCCACAAAAGGGTTTACACTAAAATGTTCACAATTCTAATGATAAATACAGTAACCGTATCACTCTCTCTTTCTATCTCTGTCTTTCGTTCACATGCACACACATTCAAACATACAGATCTACATACAGTGAGCTCATGGGATCTGACAGGAGAAAACCTAGGAATGTTATAGAGTGCTGAAATAAAGCTATCATCAAATCACAGTAATGTCCATTTAACAATGTACAGTAATAAATCATTAGATTCACTTCAGTATATTACACATGATCGGTTGAATGTTTGATTGTCATTGCAGCCTTTTACAATACAGTGTGCTGATTGTCATCGGCTACATAGATTTAGATCCTTTTGTGCACTTGATTGATTGTCACTGCTTTTGATTGTCATTAGTTTATTCACCTGGCTCATGACAGACTTGTCAAAATTAATATTTTCAGTACTATCAGTCTACAGTACTGTTCAAAAGTTTGGGGTCGGAAGGACTTTTTTTTCATCTTTTTTGTTACAAAAACTGACAGGCTACTTTTATTCTTCAAGGATGCATTAAATTATGACAGATAGTTTTTTATGATAATACAAAAATTCATTCATTCATTCAATTTCTTTTCAGCTTAGTCCCTTTATTAATCAGGGGTCGCCACAGTGAAATGAACCGACAACTTATCTGATGCCCTTCCAGCTGCAACCCAATACTGGGAAACACCCATACACACTCATTCACACACATACACTACAGCCAATTTGGCTTATTCACCTATACCACATGTCTTTGGACTGTGGGGGTTACCAGAGTCCCCCGAGGAAACCCACGGGGAGAACGGGCAAACTCCACACGGAAATGTCAACTGACCCAGCCAGGGCTCGAACCAGCGACCTTCTTGCTGTTAGGCGATCGTGCTACCCACTGCGCCACTGTTGCGCCTATTACAAAATTAACATTTGTAAACATAATCTGTTCTTCTGACCTGTCTATTCATCAAAAAAAAAAAATTATTAAAATGTATCACACTTTCCACGAAAACATTAAGCAGCACAACTGTTTTTACTGACATAGATAATAAAAAATTTTCTTGAGCTACAATTCAGCACACAAGAATTACTTCTGAAAGATCGTGTGACACAAAAGAAGTCAAATTTAGGTTTTTCATCACAGAAATAAAGTACATTTAAAAGGATGTTCAAATCATAAAGCTTTTTTTAAATAATATTTTACAATATTATTAATTATGATCAAATAAATGCAGCCTTGTTGAATATAAGAGATACACAGTGCTCAGCACATATATAAATAAATATATATATATATATATATATATATATATATATATATATATATATATATATATATATATATATATATATATATATATATATATATATATATACACAGTACAACCCTCACAAATCTCTTTTTTAAATTCATATTTTTAATAGAAAGCTCTACAATATTATATTTGTGCATATACATTAAATTAGTCAGTACTGAAGCCAAATCTGGAGCTTATCTAACTGATTCACTTATGATAACGGTCCAAAAACTAGTACACTCAAATTTATGTTATAAAAAATTATTAAATACAAATTTAAAAAAGGGAAAAATCAAGAGTAGCAAGAACTTAAAAATTTAGTTGAAATTTTGTAGTTTTTTTTTTTTTTTTGCAATTTAATTGTATTATCTTTCAATTTCCAATATGTTCGGTGACTAAAATGTTATTTTATTAAATATATCTGTTTAAAAAACCTGTTTTGTTCAAATGCACCAAAATACATTGCCTATATTTACTGAGAAATGGAGAAAAATATTAATTTTCAAAATGGGCTGTACTCAATTATGCGGAGCACTGTATATAGATGATAAATAAATAAAGAAACATTACCAACCCCAAACTTTTAAAAAGCACAACTTAATATCTACAGATGCAATTTTAAAGCATCCTCATTTTGGTCACACGCTGTCTGTCACATTGATTGTAAGTGGCACCTCAATTAAACAACAGTTTTTGTTGCATAAATATGAGAGGCATTTTAGAAGTGCACGGTTTAACTACCAATATCTGGTTTAACCAGACTAGTTTGTGCTATTGTCTGGCATAGATGGTGAGTAGGTCTATAAATGTGCAGGTTAAAAATGCTGTAGTCCATATCTCCTTTGTCTGTGCAGGTTTTTGAGATTTTTTTAAATTCTGGATTATGGCTTACATCGACTGCTTCCCTGATGTTTAAATCATGTAAAATAAGCAGGGTTTCCTGACACATTTTTCTGTAAAACATTTTGCTGATTGAAGCTCTGCTGGTTTTGTCTGAACATGATAAAGTGTGTTGTTTACTGCAGTCTCGTCCAGTACTGACTCAGACCTTGTCCCAGCTCCTGATCGCCACCTTGAACTGCAGTCTGGCCCGCTGCAGAAACTCCTGCAAAGAATCCTGAAAGAGACACAAGGAAAGATTGATCCTCTTAATTTTCACACATGGCCTCCTCTGACGGCCTTATTTGTAACACAAAAGGAACCACAGCACAGCTAAACCACATTCACACACTCAGTCACTTATTCAGTGTTTTGGCCTGTGGATTACAGTATTCATATGCGGTGTGAAGGTGGAGTATGTTACGAAACAGCACTCACCTGTGTTTGCGCTGGCCGTAGGTGGGGGTGGAAGGTGGGGAGAGGTGTAAGATGAGTCAAATTTTCGGGACAGAGGAGGAAGAGCAGAAGGAGAGGGAGGCAACATGCAGGAGTAAGTTGGAGTGGACTGGGAGGGCAAAGACTAGAGAAGAAAACAAAGAAAAAAAGATTTACATCATCAACAGATTCAGGAAAAAAACACATTTCACAACTTACTATGCAAGAAAACACCCTAGATGGGTTTAAAAAATTAGATTTTCTGGGCTATAGTCCAGTCAGGCCAACATTTACATTTAATGCAAGTTGTACTTTGACGTCATAGATATTCTATTGCATTAGAGCTCATTGAACAGGATGTTGATATGCTTCTGACTGAAGGGAATCGATTTACTAGGTCGACTAAAAGTGACCTGTTAAACTGTAAACTCGCAGTGTAGCCTATGTGATGGTTTATTTTTATAAACTGCAGCTGGCGGTGATATTCCAGCAGCAACACCAGAGGGCGCTATCAAGCCATTTTAAATGAGTTTGTGTGGCATACGGACGGACTCAAAGCAGTGCATTATAGCAGGTGAAAAGAGCTAAAAAAAAAACTTGTAAAAGTTAGTCATGTCAGCAAATACAGTTTGATCAAATCAATGTATCATTAAACCAATTAGCCAATGTAATTGCAGTATTTGAGACTTTCTACAAATGGTGTGTTTGGATATAGGGAAACAAACCTCGTTTACTCATGATGAATAGTTTACTGCCATGCAAGTATGCAAACATTAGAGGTTATCAAACGTGAAACAGTGACCTCAGCATTTCCAAATTGTTCCACAAACACATTCAAAATTGCCGCCTGAACAAAGAGAGTTTTGCTTAACAAACTTCATACTTAATACATAGTTTTACCTTCGAGTTGCATAATAGGTCCTTGTAGCTACTAGAATTTTTGTCTGCATTATTTACCACTAAGCACTCTGTTTGCATGCTTTAAAGAAACAAAAAGGCAGATGCTGTTCTTATTCTTTTTAAGAGAGCATCATTTTTTAATTAGGACACTGAAATGAACGTTGTCTCGAAAGAATTGAAGTATTTATATTTTACATACAGCAAATGGACTTTAAAACCTTTGTGTCGCTAACTGCACAGAATGTTTTAAACGCAGAAATGAATTCAAACCCCTATCAAACCTCTATAGTGTGTCTTTTTCAGCTATTTGAAACCTGTACGTTGGTTGTGATATAATCTTATCCAATCTTATTCAAATCAAGTCTACATAGAAGAACATAGAAGACTTTTCTATTTAGATAAAATCCAGTCACACCCAGGTCTTTCCAAACATGTCTGACTTTTTTCTGAAACATAAAATAAGATAATTTGAGACAGATGTACTTGAATTTAACCTTGATATGGAATTTGACATTTATTTTAACTGTCAAATTCATGCCATGTGTAAGATGAAAGAAAGAGGTAGTATGTTCAAATAAATGAATAAATAAAAAAGAGGTAGAAAGATAAGACAACACTATTTTGAGGATTGTTGGATTTCAATCATCGACTCTGCGCTTCTTAAATTATCATCAATTATGTTCCACAAAAGTGTGTTCATGTTCCAAATTGTTCAAAAATAAAAAAAAAAAACAATTGAAGCTTCAAATAGCATTTTATATTTCACAACAGCAAAAAAAAGCTTTGGAGTGACACAAGGGTGAGTAACTGATGACAAAATGTACATTTTGGATCATCCAGTGTGACATTTGTAACATTTAATGTTTTTTATCTTAAGGAAACAGGAGACAAAAAAAATATTTAAAAAAACGCACATTACAAATGTATGAATTAGGTCACAGCAGGTCCGCTTATCACGGTAATCTATTATACAGCAGAGGAAGTCATGACTTACCTGCATACTGGAGAAGACAGACAGAGAGCTGTAGCCTGAGAGAGAAGAATCACTCCGACTGTGCATTGAGCCTTATATAAGAGAACAAAATAGAAAAAGAAACAGATTTTTCAAATGATATTATTTTCTAATCACTGCTTTTGTACTTAATGATATGGGCGATATTCTGTGTATAACAGTCATGACAATAAAGACATTTGATGTTAGAATAAGGTGTAATATCAAACAGAATCAATTTATTATTTTATGTGGGGTTATTCTAGCTGTCGGTTTTTGGGTAAAGCTGCATGTGGATTAAAGACAAAAAGGTTTTTTCAAATCTCAAAACAAGAAAGGTGTAATATAAGTTTAATTTTCTTCTGTACATTAGAATGGGTCTGTTTGTGTTTCATTTATTTATTTGGTAAAATAATGACTTTCATTCATCTTAACCATGGTTTACAGAAAATGAATTCAGCGAGGCCATTTATGTACCAGGAAATTCTGTCAGTCATATACTGTACCTTTTTAATTATTTGATGAAATGAAAAGACTTTAAGGATCACACTGCTATTATATTTAAAATGTATCTTTTACTATCACTATTTGTCACACCACTAGGGTTTATCAATGTAGCAAGACATTTTACATTAATTACATTTTGCAAAATTGCTTAATTTTTATATATTTTAATAAGTGCATGTGTGTCGAAATATGCTTGTTTAAGTTATATACTTAATTTAAGTGTAGACTGTACACTTGTGTATTTTCTGCTCTGTACATATCCACTGCACTTATACATTTGTAATTGTCCATATCTGTCTGCATACTTCTGATTATTAATAGCAACTTGTACATATATTAATCTATTGTAAATCTCTGATCATAATTAATACAACCTATATAATGTTCATAGTACATCCACCTGTAAATATCACCCATAGTTTTTCTAAAATTGCACTTTATAACTTATATCCTGCACTTACTGCTATTGCACTCCTGGTTAGACCTAATCTGCATTTATTTGTCTTGTACTTGTACATGTGCAGTGACAATAAAGCTAAATCTAATCTAATCAAACTTTTCATAAATTGACATTGAAACAGGACGTCTCATCTTTGACCCACATGTTTTAACAGTGTGACGTAAGTCATTAAAAAAACGTACCTGAGCTGTTGCTGTGATGGGAGTGATATACAGGGGAGTTAAAGGACGTGCTCAGGGGAGTATGTGTCTGAGAACAGGAACTGCTGCTCCCTGATCTCCTCTGGTTTCTCAGCTTTTCCTCCCTTCTCCACTTAGCTCTCCGATTGGAGAACCATACCTGTCAATCACCCAATATGGGTCAGTGCATAATGGACAGTGTCTTTATGTATTGTTTAAAGGCACTTTCACATTACCACAATGAAATCTTAAAGACACTCATTAAAATACTTTATAAAACACTATTACCTGAATTCTAGCCTCTGGAAGATCAATCTTTGCAGCCAGTCTTTCTCTAGCAAAGACATCTGGGTAATGAGTCCTTTCAAACTCTGGAAAACAGATTTTATATGTAAATACATGTGAATTTTGTTTCCTGGTAGATAGAAAATCATATTTTGTAACAGCATGAGAGGGAATGACACATAATAACACAACATTAGAAAAAAAAAAGTAGAAAATATGAATGTGGAATAATATGAAAAAAAAAGATTTGGGATTTGTGACAAAACTCCCCACTAGATCTGATATTATTTGGCATCATCAATAAGTACTATTAAAAAATATTTACAAAAAATTTAAAATGTATAATTTTGATGTGTATTGACATTTATTGAAACTAACTGATACTAAAAATAGATTTTAGTTTTGTGGCGACCCTGTTAGTTATAATATTACTTTATTTAAATGATGACTTTAACATGATTAACTATTCTGCAGATCAAAATAACAATTATCCTCTCAGAGGTTAACTCTCCAAGCACAAGTCAACTGATCAATATCCGTATATCTTATTTTATGAATATCATTTATAAATATTTAACCTCACTAGGAACATGATTATTTGCATTACTTGCATGAAAAATAACTTTAACCGCACATCAAGTATTAACACATCTTTAAATATTAATAACCCAATAAGTTTTTCTTATTTTTTTTAAATATTACAAAATTTGTCTTTTATTTTTTCAATTTTAATCAATTTTCCCATCCTTGTGTTTCCAGCTTCTCCTTGCAATATTACAAATCATATATTGAAAAAATAAATATTGAGTCCTAAAGAAATACATAAGTTTTAGTCTTTTTGCATCCACCCTATTATTATCACATTTGACCATTTTTAAAGCAGTGGACTGTTCTATACATCAGAATAATTTTGTCAAAATAACATTACTGTTCTTTCTGAATTTAAAATGTTAGTTCTTCCGATTACTAAAAATAATTTTTTTATCCTCAAGTGATCCCCAACTCTTGATTTGTTTTAAGTCAAATATGAGCAAATTCTTCTATAGAAAGTCCATCCCCCCAAATCTCTGATGTTTCAAAACTCTACCAAATGAAACGAGCAGATTTAATTTAGGCTTACATTCACATCTATTCAGTAATTTTACTTCAGATTAGTCCCTGTGATTCATCAGGGGTCACCACAGTGGAATGAACCGCCACTTTAATTCACATAAAATCTTATTTATAGCTTGAATTTTTAGCATTCACATTTTACTCTCAGAGCCTCTGACTGAAATGAAATTTATTCTTGCATGTCACACAGCAAGTTTGAGTTTCTCTAAGAACTAATGAAGACTGTTCTCCTAAATCAGGAATCAGGAAGTATGCTTGAGCCTCAGTTTATGTCCACAGTTCAAATGTAAATAAAAGCTCGAATCAAATGTGTCAGTCATGTCTCTTTAGAACAGAGGTGACCAAAGTAGGGCCCGCGGGCCAAAGTTGGCCCATGGTAACCTTTGGTTTGGCACACCATTCCATCTGAAAAGAGAGGGAGAATGATAGGGAGTTGGTTGGGGGCAAGTGCCTTTGACAGAGATAGCCATTTCTAATTTAACATGACTGTTTGTTTCTTTTTGTTTAACTGAGGAGCTACAAAAAAAGCCAACTAATATCAAAAGTTAATTTAAATTTTGTAAATGAATCAGACTTTAAAAATGTAAATACTGTTACTTGACCGGTGCTCTGTTACAGGACAATGCACAAACCATCGGCGAGCAAATCAAGGCAAAGGCAGGAGCAGTTCAACTGCTGTATTCAGCATTAACCTCCATTGTGTTATAAATAGATTTTTTTTTATGTTTTTACTATAATAAGTTCATTATAAAACATTAAAAATGACACTGCAGCATTAATTAAAAGGTTTTAAAGCAATGTTTTCTAGTTATTTTTACATATTAGCAAATAAAATTAACTTAATATGGTTTGGTATATATTCAACTTTAGCCCACAGCTGTAATGTTTGGTTTTTGCCCCTAAGAAGAAAAAGTTTGGGCACCCCTGCTTTAGAAGATTTGAATTAATTAATGCTTATTATTGATTTGCTTATGAACAGTTTGAAGCATCGTTGGGACATTCACACTCTCAGTGGAGGGACAGAAACTTCAGATTTTATTCAAGGTAACTCTTCACAACAAGATTACATAAAATAATGTATTTACTCACACATAAAAACAATGATCAATACACTTATTACAGTATTTATTTATCTATGTTAATGTTAGTTAATAAAATTAAAGTTGTTCATTGTTAGTTCATGCTTACTCACAGTACAGTAACTCATGTTAACAAGCATGACTTTGGGTTTTATTAATGCATTAGTAAATGTTGAACTATGACTAATAAATGCTCTACATGCATTGCTCGTTATAGACCCTTAAAATGTGGTCTTGTCATTGGGCCATGAACATTTCCTGCTGGTTATTAAACTATTTCATAACTGTAACAAGGCGCAATCAATCATAACTTGATGTTAAAACAGTACTCATAATATCAATATGTGTCTCTTTTTGGATTCTCCGAAGCTACAGAAATTAAAAATATAAAATAGGAACTACGTTAGGACCACTGTTTTTGTTTACATCCCTGAAAGTGGTCTATTAGCTCTTGTTAGTGAATAGATTAACTAACATTAACTTATGAAACCTTATTGTAAAGTGTGACCAAATAAATCCTTAATGTGAACCAGAACCTCAAAACAAGCTATAAGTTTTATTTATTTATTTTTTTTTGAAAATGAGAAACATCATGTAAAGTAAAGCTAAATTAGGCTATAAATACCCCTTCCAATGATGTATGGTTTGTTTTGATATGATAATATTTGACCAAGATACAACTATTTGAAATCTATATACTGAGAAAATCACCTTTAATACTGTCCAAATTCAATTCTTAGCAAAGCTAATAAAAAATTACTAATCAAAAATTAAGGTTTGATATATTTACAATAAGACATTTACAAATTGTGTTCATGGAACTAATATTTTATGGATTTTTGGTATAAAATAATTTTTACTCATACTGTATTTCCACAAATATACAATATTATGTGGTGCGATCCTTAATAAAACTGATATAATTTTGATATAATCTCATATTGTGTGCCAGCTCTTCGAGTCACACCTTTCTCGAGGGCATCGATCTGCTCCTGGGTGAAGCTGGTGCGGTTTCTCTGCAGCTTCCTCTTGAGCTGCAGGTGTAGCTGCGAATCGTCCACCTCATCCCTCTCTCCCTGCACCACTCCTTCCCCTGCTCCGGCCATCTGCACATTCAGATCCTCCACACAACCATCTGAGAGAACACCAAAAAGACCCCATTAAACTTCAGAGAGTGTGGTAAGAAGTGCTGCATTTCAGTGCACAGCCGCGTGTGTTATTATATAGACACAACTGTCTCTTTGCAATTCCAGTGCATCGCAGTGTCTTCTGTTTGACAGTTTGACCTTATTTGTGTACGTGTGAATAAGCAGCAACTGCATTATGGGCATGTGATTGTGTGTCTAATGTCTGCTCGCTTTAATTCCGCCTTCCTGTAATGAAACGGAGGATGTTAAGGCCAGAGAGCAGCGTGTTTGTATGTGGGTGTACATGTGTGGCTGATGGTGTAGCTCTTGGCACCCTCTGTTTGTGCTCAGTCAAGTAGAAGAATCGCTGGTTCACCCCAAAGCTGACTTCACAAACACTGGCACACACACACATACATACACAGACAAAGCAGATATGCACATGTTGAGGTGCTGTACTGATAGATGCTGAGGTAACTGGCTGATGTTCTTGTACCTGTGCCGTGTTGAGGGGTGATGGTGTCGGCTGGGTGGTACCAGTTGTTAGGGCCGGACCAGTTGGAGCTGTTTTGTAGGTTCAGCATGGTCAGATTGTCATACATCAAATGTCACCTGTGAGAAAACCCTTGCCCTCTCTTTCTAGCATCCAGACCACTCCAATCCTGAATCAAGGACAAAAAGTGAGAGACTGTTTTAAAAGAACATAGGAAAGATGATGTGTAAGATAACAATCATTATAAATGATTTGAGCCTAGTATGTGTTTGCTTAGAACCGAATTCCAATAGATTTATTCATTTTAAAAGTTAAATATGTAAATCTGTGAAAAAATTAATAATTAGAAAGATCAAATTCAAAAAAAATCTGCAATTATTTATAGTAAACAGCTCCTGTTTTTTTAGAATATCTAAATTAACAATGATCTAAATGTTTTTTTTACTTTGTTTTCTGATTATGTTGATGCATTCTAACTGAGACTATAGAGACAGCTGTCATTTGTCTCTCATACATTTGGGTGAAAATTACTTTAACTATGAATAGTTTATGCCAAGTTCAGTTGTGTAATAATAATATATACAGTGTTCATCATATATAAGTATGCCCCTCACAAATCTTTCTTTTATATTCATATTTTTAATAGGAAGCTAAACAATATTATATTTGTGCATATACATTTGATTAATCAGAACTGAAGCCAAATCTGGAGCTTATCTAACAAAGTCACTTACGTGAACGGTCCAAAAACTAAAACAGCCAAATTAATATGTTATGATATATATAATATATATTAAATATTAAATACAAATTTAAAAAAGAGGGAAAATCAAGAGAAGCGAAAAAATTTTTTGAAAGATTTTGTTGAAATTTTTTGTTTTTTTTTGCAATATTTTGCTTGAATTTAATTGTATTATCTTTCAATTTCTAAATATGTTTGGTGACTAAAATATTATTTTAATAAATATATCAGTTTAATAAATCTGTTTTGTTTAAATGCACCAAAATACATTTCCTATATTCACTGAGAAATGAAGAAAAATACTCATTTTCAAAATGAGCTGTACTCAATTATGCTGAGCACTGTATTTAAAGCCATCAACTCATTTTTAAAGTCCTAATATTTTATGTTTAGGTTCAATATATATAGTAAATACATAGTTTAAAAGTATATTTTATATATACCGTCCCTATGGATCTGATCAGAAAATTGTATTTCTCATTTTGTTCTTCTACTGATCTTTTATTGTGATTTATTATTACATATTGATTATCTCTTATTCATAATGAAAGTGCTCTTTCAGTATTTTCTGTAGCATGTCCCAGTTTACTTTACTCTCTCTTATTTACAAATGTTATTTTATTTTAGGCTTTCTACATACAGTTTTTGGCCTACCCTTTGTGATATATTCTCAAAAACTATTACAAACTCACTTTATAATAATGGCATCATTGTGCTTTAAAGAGTTACCACTTTAGTATTAAGTCAGCAGTTTTTTTTTATCTATTTATCTCATGTTTTATGTATATGTAAAAAATAAGTTAAATCTCATTATCTCAATAGCAACCAACTGAACATCTAAACTAATTAAATAATAAAAAAACATTGAAATGTTAAATTGAATGGTAAAAATATCTGTATGAAAATAATTACAAATGGTCAAAAGCTTACATTAAAATATGATTGTTTGTTCTGAGATGACACAATGCACTTAATCTATCTATCTATCTATCTATCTATCTATCTATCTATCTATCTATCTATCTATCTATCTATCTATCTATCTATCTATCTATCTATCTATCTATCTATCTATCTATCTATCTATCTATCTATCTATCTATCTATCTATCTATCTATCTATCTATCTATCTATCCATCCATCCATCCATCCATCCATCCATCCATCCATCCATCTATCTATCTATCTATCTATCTATCTATCTATCTATCTATCTATCTATCTATCTATCTATCTATCTATCTATCCAACTCATTTCTAATAACTGATTTATTTTAAAATAAATAAATCAGCTTAAAGTGACATTTAAAGGCCTTAACTAGGTTAATTAGATTAACTAGGCAGGTTAGGGTAATTAGGCAAGCTATTGTATAACGATGGTTTGTTCTGCAGACAATCAAAAAATATATATAGCATTAACAGGCTTATCATTTTGACCTTAAAATGTTTTTAAAAAATTAAGAACTGCTTTTGTTCTAGCTGAAATTAAAACAAATAAGACTTTCTCCAGAAAAAAAAATTAATCAGACATACTATGAAAAGTTCCTTGCTCTGTTAAACATTATTTAGAAAATATAAAAAATAAACAAATAAATAAATAAAAGGGGGACTAATAATTCTGACTAACTCTGTCTATCTATCTATCTATCTATCTATCTATCTATCTATCTATCTATCTATCTATCTATCTATCTATCTATCTATCTATCTATCTATCTATCTATCTATCTATCTATCTATCTATCTATCTATCTATCTATCTATATATATATATAGATATATATATATATATATATATATATATATAGATATATAGATATATATATATATAACACACACACACAAAGAGAGAGAGTTCATTACACACACACAGACACAGCTAGTAATTAAGAAGTACAGAACATCTAGTCTGACATCGTCGTACACACACGCATGACTGGAGAGAGTAATACTGTCAACTAATGTTAACAACAATACATACACACACGCACACTACACAACACAGAGAAGCACTCACTCCTTTAAAACAAAGAGATAATTATAGATACACCGCACGCAATGGCACACAATCCACATTAACCGATGCAAACTGTGGCTACACAACAAAATGCAGCACAAAAATGGAGGCGTGAAGCCACTAACCAAACTGTATTTGTATAAAAAAAATAACCATCATCTGCACATAATTTATAGAACACCGTTCAGCTAAATAAATCAATACTCTTCAAATGAATAGTGAGTCAGAAAAGATATTACCGGTTGCTCTGATAGTTCTGCATGTAAAAGTACTAGCTTACACAAACAGGAGGCCATTGAAGAAATATATGGCAAGGAGAAAGTAAATACAAAAATACTGATTGAAGACACAGTGAAATGCTGCATATAAATTTGTTTGGAATCAAGAAATACCATAATGCCTCCCTGTAACAAAAATTCTACATATGAAGAGTTTAGATGCAAAAACTCTAAATGCCGATTGATATTCTCCTCCAAAATTAGCATTTTTCTCTGACGTTAGTGTGTATGCTCAGTAATTTTACTGTTATAGTGACAAATAAGTTATTTTTATTGCCTTTAAAGGGAAATAACCTAGGAGGCTGAGAAAATGGTCGATTTAAAAGAACATCAGACGGCATTTAAAGGTTTTTGTATCTGAACTCTTCATATGTATAAAACATACACACAATCCATACACATGCTGCATTTATGTGTATATAATAAAGCAAAACATTCAATTAATTTCAAATAGTATAATAATAATAACTAAAATAATAGTTTAATAAATTATATAATACTACTGTCATGCATGTAGGCTAAGTAAAAAGTACAAATATGTCAAACTAATAAATGAACTGTCTAGAACTCTGAATGAAGATAAACAGTGTAACAATCCATACACAGATGCTTTACATCAGACAAATTTTACAATGAATTTCTTAATAGTGTAATATTAAACAAAATCTGTGTATTGAATAATAAAAAATAAAGTCTATAGACTAATAAAAAAAGGTTTTTAAAAGTTTTGCACAAATTAAATTAATTAAATTAAAGAATCGAATGCAACTTTGTAAGCATCTCGAGAAAATCAAATACAAGCACATGTAAATCATTTCCATTTAGCCTTTGGTGCTATTGCACAAAATACCATTGTGTACAAAAACGAAAATGTCAAAGGTCAAGTCATGCCCTAACCTTTCCGCATTTAACCAGTACTTTTCCTCAATCTATTACAAGAGTGATCATGTCTGAATCGGCTGGAGACTCACCTGCTTAGATGAATGAATTGTAAAAGTGCTCCACACTTGCTCAGTGTCTCTATCACTTTCTGTTCATCCCTCTCTCCTTCTCTCTGCTCTCCTGCTTTGTTAATGTTAGACTGTGTTCGAGAGAGAGAGAGAGGGAGGAGAGGAAAGGGAGAGAAAGATGGAGAGAGTTAGACAGGGCGAAAGAGAGGAGGCGAGGGAGGGGTTGTGGGCTACACAGAAATGCATCTGCAGGCACTCTGGTCCTTGAAGCAATGAGGGAGAGAGAGAAAGAGAGAGAGAGGGATGACACACAGAGTCAGTGTCAGTGTCAGGTCTGGACTTAATGCCAGGAAAAGGGGTGATGAAGTGAGAGAGAGGAAAAAATAAAAAAATGACTGAAAAAGAGGAGACGTAAAGCTATTTCTAATGTCTCACAAAGGCAATTCGCCATTTGGAGATAAGGACTTCCAAAAATGGCTAACGACCCAAGAGCTGTGAGGGAGCTTCAGTCCACACACCTGCTCTATGAAGGCCCGCGGTCACTGAGTTTCACCCTCCACACTGCTGACATCCACATCTGTAGCAGAAAACAATCACCAAAATTAACTGTTTACTGTTTCAAGTTCAAGGGATGTCAGTGTTTTAAGGGAACCATCAATTAGTTAAAACCTAGTTGGTATTAACCAGTTTATTTTTCATAAAGTATAGCTAAAAGCTTTTCTGAAATGGTTATTTTTTTTGTTTAGAACCATGAAAATGTCTGGCCTCAGAAAACAATATTAATATTTAAAATAAATAATAGTAATAATCTTTTAAATAAAATAAAATAAAAACTTAAAACCTTCATTTCAGTTCCTCTTTAGTGAAATGAACTGCACCGTCCATAACTTATATTATGTCAAACTGACTTAAAATAGCTTGCGTAACTCATAAAATTAAGTTAGAACATGATTAATTTAGTTTAATAAGTTACAATTAACTAAAAACATATGTTGTGAGAAGTAATTGATCACATATTTTTTACAGTGTGCCACACAAAAAAAATATTGCAGCTTTACACAGTTTATTCATTTTAAAATTTCTAGTCATCTCAACTCAAAAATATTAACTTATAACGTTGTATCACTACAAAAATGAGTTGAAACCTAATTAACTTATTAAAAAAGGTAAAAGTAACATAAAATAATTGGTTGTCATGACTTTTTGTAATATCGTTTTTTACACTGCAATAAAATGTAATATTTTAAATTATAGCTCAGTTTTTGTTGATATACACTCCTACAATTATTAAATGTTTTAAAATAAGCTTCTCCTGCTTACCAAAGCTGCATTTATTTAATTAAAAATACAGTACAAATTGTAAAATTGTGTAATGTTATATATGTTATGCATTATAAAATAACTGTTCAAAAGTAGTTTATCATTTAATTTAATCATTTATTCCAGTGATTTTAAAGATGAATTTTCAGCTTCATTACTCCAGTCTTCAAAGTCGCATGATTCTTCAAGAATCACTCTAATATTAATTATTCATTTATTTTATTTTAGGCTCAGTCCCTTTATTAATCCAGGGTCGCCACAGCGGAATGAACCGCCATCTTATCCGGCATATGTTTTATGCAGCAGTTGCCCTTCCAGTTGCAACCCATTATTTTATTATTTTATATTATACTAATAAGTTTCAAGTTTAAGAGATATCAGTGTTTTAAGGAATCGATCAGTTAAGCAAAACCCAGTTTGGTAATAACCTGTTCATTTTTTTTATAAAAGTAGACAAATGCTTTTCTGAAATGGGTATTTTTTTGTGTAGAACCATGAAAAAATTTAAATAAAATAATAATAATTATTATTGAAATAAAACCAACTAAACGCTAAAAACATTAATCATTTCTATTGCTCTTTAAAAAAATAATAATCGAAAATTAATAAAGAAATTGCTTGCTGCCATACATAGTATCAAAGACTATATAATAATAGTGATAAGTAATAGTATTATATAGTATGATTTTGCATTATTATTATGATAGTAGTAAAAGTATTTGAAGTTCATACATTCATCCATTCATTTTCTTTTCGGCTTAGTCTTTTAATTAATCTGGGGTCTCCACAACAGAATGAACTGCCGGCAACATATGTTTTATGCAGCAGTTGTCCTTTCAGCTGTAATCCATCACTGGGAAGCCGAGGCTTGAACCAGTGACCTTTTTGCTGTGAGTTGCCATTGCGCCACCGTCTTACATAGTTTAGTTTAATCAAATTTAAATTTCTAGTCATCTCAACTCAAAAATATTAAGTTAAACTGTATAACTACAAAAAATTAGTTGAAACCTGATTAACTTATCAAAATAATAGGCTTCTTCTTCTTCTTCTTTGTCGACTTAGTCCCTTTATTAATCTGGGGTCGCCACTGCGGATTGAACCGCCAACTCATCCTTCAAGTTTTTACGCAGCGGATGCCCTTCCAGCCGCAACCCATCACTGGGAAACATCCACATTCACACACACTCGACAATTTAGTCTACCCAATTCACCTGTACCAGATGTCTTTGAACTGTCTTTGGACTGTGGGGGAAACCGGAGCACCCGGAGGAAACCCACACGAATGCAGGGAGAACATGCAAACTCCACACAGAAACGCCAACTGAGCCGAGGCTCATAATAGGCTTCTCCCAAAAGATAACAAGATGTACAAGAGACATCAATGTAGGGGAAAAAACATTTCTCAGCTTTTATATACATGTAAAAAAAAACTTCAATTCAGAATTTGTCAGGAGTATGAATGATTTTGGGCTTGACTGTATATTACAGTTTCATCTCAATTGCTATGGCTCAGTTCTCATTCATTCATTTTCTTTTTGGCTCAGATCCTTTATTAATCTGGGGCCGCTTCAGCAGAATGAACCGCCAACTTATCCAGCTTATGTTTTATGCAGCGGATGCCCCTCCAGCCACAACCCAACACTGGGAAACGCCCACACACTCTTGCATTCACACACGTTACGACCAATTTAGTTTATTCAATTCACCCATAGCGCATGTCTTTGGACTCGTGGGGGAAACTGGAACACCTGGAGGAAATCCACGCCAACACGGGGAGAACATTCAGCTTTGGCTCAAGTCTCGATTTAAATTTTTATTTTTCAAAACAATAAGTTTACATCTCTGAACAATTAGCTTATTGTTTAAATCAGATTGGCCTTTCATATTGATTTAAGCAAAATTGCAAATGCTTTGACACATGTCTGCAAACAGTATTGTTTGAGTTTGGACAAAAACTAATTGCACATGGCTTGTTGATCAAAACCGATGAGTCGTTTCTCATTTAGGATGTCAAACTCTTCAGAACGTCACAATTAATTTTTATCATGTAAGCCATCACACTCAAAATTTCTGTTTATTCGATTATCAAACATTTGTATATGCATGTTTACACCATAAATATCAGATATTGACCTTGTTTGTAATAACAGCTAAACTGGTAAATGACCTTGTAATACAATTTGTGACTGCCCACATCACAATCACAACATTCACTATAAAATATACAATACAGAAATTGTACAAGTAAGGTTTCTCTTTGCATGTAAAACATTTGTACACAAATAAATGCACTGTATAAAATACAAATGTTCATTTATTATTTTTTTTATGTACTTTTGACTCTTAAAACACATACTAGATTTTTTAAACCTTAATATCCATGGTTGAATGTCATGGTGAAAAAAAACTACTAATCATTTTGAGCAGTGTGGCTCACATGATGAAAAATGCACTTTATGTTTTGGTGGCCTTGGCCAAAGTACTGACATGATAACTAGGTTTTGAAGCATGAATTAAAGATTTTAGGTGAGTAACTACATTTTGCAGACATGCAATTAAGGTCTGAAGTTCAAGCAAACGGTTTTGAAATTTGCACTCATAGTTTAGAGAATGTTATGTTTTAAAAATGTGCCAAAGCAATTGAGAAAAACTGTATTATTATGTATATTATGACTGTATATTATTATGTATAGTTATGACTTTTTGTAATAAATAGTTTAGTGCTTTTGAGATAGAGGACATCAAAGACACATTACACTGATCAAAAATGACAGAAAATACATTTATAATGTTAAAATTATTTTTTTATTTAACAAATGTTTTTATTTTTATTTTAAACTTTTCTATTTAATCCTGAAAAATGTATCAGTTTCCACAAAAATATAAATTATTAATGTTTTCAACACTGTTAACCTTAAATATTTATATATAAAATAAGCACAAAATCCTAATTTAAGTGTAATTCGCAAAGGATCTATCGATGATTTAGCTTTGTAGATATAAAAAACATTTTAATTGAAAGCATTTTAACATTTTAGAACATTGTAATAATATTTAAATCTTATATTTATTATCAAAGACATGCAGCTCTGGTTAGCAGTAGAGACATCTTACTGAGGAAAGCAATATAAACTCCACAAGGCTTTTTAAAATTGCCTTGACTCTAGTTTGAGCCGTCCTCAAAAACAAAAGGAGGATTAAAAGATAGTTAAATAATAAAAGGATAAAGGCCGACAATTTTATTAAAGAGACATTTATATTCTTATTATCTTAAACACTGTTATTCTCATGGGAGAAATCTCACACATTACTCTGTCCCTCGTGTAGTTCTTTATACGCTGCATGCTTGCTCATACGATTACATGCAAACATGAGTAGACACTCAGACCTGGGTATGAGGGCCTCCATCCTGCACACACACACACACACACACACGCCAGGCTGTATATGACATGTTTACCCTCCACTGCACTTTGTCACAATCCCAATGCTATATTTGCATATTTTATTGGATTAACTTTAAAAACCAAAGAGCCTGTGACATGTTAAAGTACGAGAGAAAACAGAGAGGGAGAGAGAGAGACTTGCTGCTCTTATAAAGGAGTATCAGCCAACAGTATTTACAAGCATGACAATTTTGGTGCTCGTTGATATGAAAGGTTCAACTAAATAAATATGAACCTTTGCTCACTTAAGACAAGAAGACGGATCGAAGGGGGTACAATTGATATCTTCAATTATTTTACCTAATAACCACAGTTTTATTACCAATAACATGATTAAATTTAGGTCAGTGTATCAAAAGCATGCTGATTTGTGGTTTATGGGTTGTGTGTATAACCAAGGGGTTGGGACCCAAT